AGTTTGCCAACACTGTGTGAAATCATGTTCATATTCACGGAGAAAAATGGACGTTTTAGGAAAAGAGGCGTAGCACCTCCCATACTGACTGAAAGTTTCATATTGCATATCTCTTCAAATGTTTGGGGTAAAGCACTCAAGCTTGATATGGAAATACATATGTATGCATGCATGTATGTGAAACTAATACCATACTCATGGAGAAAAATGAGAGTTATTGGAAAAGGTGGTGTGGCAACTCCCATGCAAATTGATTTTTCTATGCGGCATATCTCTGGAGGTGTTTATTGCAGAGGACTGGAACTTGGCACCGAGATGTGTATACAAAATTAATTCCATACTCATAGAGAAGAATTTGCGTTATTCGAAAAGGGGACATGGTTCCTGCCGTACAAATTTACTGTTTTATACTGCTTATCTCTAGAGGTGTTCATGGTAGAGTACTGGGACTTGGTACTGGGGTATGTAAAATCAATTCTAAATTCATGGAAGAAGATAAGAAAAAGGGGCGTGGCACTTCCTACACAAATTGACTTTTTCTTGCCACATATCCCTGGAAGTGTTTGTGGAAGAATACTGGAACTTGGTATGGAGTTGTGTATGCAAAATGTATCAATTGCTCATGGAAAAAATGTGAGTTATTAAAAAAGGTGGCATGTCGCCTCCCATACATACTAAAAACTTCTAAATACATATCTCTGGAAGGATAGAAAATCTCTCGAAGTATTTTAAATTTGTTATGGAGATTTATTTTATAAGTGCCGTACTGACAGAATAAATTTCATTAAATGGAAAAGGGAGAGCCGGGTTCGGCCTTATAATCTAAAGCTCTCTTGAGGCATTTGCTACAGTAATGAGAAGTGGTATTTTATCAAGGCCAGGTTACTAAATTTGAGCTGGAAATATTAGAACCCGCCGTGGCACCTTCAAGAAGGTTACACGTTCACGCGTCGAATACCTGGAACCATTTTGAGGTAAACTTAGAGGGATTGATATATTTCGTATGCATAGCGCGCAGACGAGATTTTATAATTTCATAGTTTTAAACGGCCTAAATACCTTAACTCGCTAAAAAAATAACGAGCTATAACGAAATGGACACAGAAATAAAATCTAACATCATTAAACTATTT